TTATTTCCCATAATATATATATATATATATATATATATATATATATACAAAAGATTTTTATACCTAATATTTTATACCTTTTATTTTATATAAAATAATTTATTTAAAAATATAAATTATTTTTATACCTTTATACAGATTTTTATTTAAGATAAATGCTAATCTTTGAATCTTTCTATTCATCAAAGGATTATGAATTTTATTTTTACTCAATTGTTTTAAATATTGATAATAATAATAATAATAATAAATGTTTCTTGAACAGCAAATCAGCATATCAGAATGATTTCTGAAGGATCATGTGACACTGAAGACTGGAGTAATGATGCAGAAAATTCAGCTTTGCATCACAGGAATAAATTACATTTTAAAATATATTCAAATAGAAAGCAGTTATTTTAAATAGTAAAAATATTTAACAATATTACTGCTTTTGCTGTAATTTGGATCAAATAAATAAAGGCTTCCTTAAATTACAATTTTTACTGTTCAAAAACTTTTGACTAGTATATATACTATGTATATATTTTAGAATCAAACGGCACAAATAAATTAATGTTCAACTTTTACTTGTATTTAGCCTTCATACAAACAAGAAATGTGAAATCACTGTCAAATAAATAGGCTAATTGTTTAACAAACAAGCCCAAGTATGCATGTACTGCATCCAATCAGTCATCACAACATTACTACACACACACACACACACACACAGGTTTACATTTGTGAAAAGTGGGAACATCCCATAGGCGTAAGGGTTTTTATACTGTACAGACCGTATATTCTATTGCCCTTTACCAACCCTACCTCTAAACCTACCGCTTATAGGAGACTTTGTGCTATTTCAGATTTTCAATACACTCCATTCTGTGTGATTTATAAACGTTTTGAAAAGTGGGGACATGGGGTAATGTCCTGAAAAGTCACCTTCTCCTTGTAATACCTATGTCATACCTTTGTCATTATACAAATTTATGTCCTCATTTGTCACAAAAACGCGTACACACACACACACTGTAGAGGCACTGGTGCTGATGTAAACGTCTACAGCCGCACTTATCACGAGGGCTCAGCAGACAGACGTTATGATTCAAGGGTGACAAGTTTTTAGCGTGATAAATTATAACGTATCTGATTTTGAATGTAGTATGACTGTATATTCAAGTAATCACAATGCCTAAATATAAGTTAAAGAGTGACTCAACTCTCAACTCTTTTCCTATCACCTAGGCTGTCTATTGGGCACTTTTTGCATTTAAATTGAATTATTCTGACTGCGGACATTGTGTTGTTTCGAGGGTATCGGCTAATTTCGTGATTGCCATTTTACCAGTGTTTGCTTGCATATTTTATTCGTATTCGGTAGCCTAATTCTCTTTAATGTAGTAGGCTATTTGCCCCGATTTGATCCGTTTACCTGAATGCGAAATTTATCTAACGTTATATTTATTATTTTGTCGTCAATATTTTGTTTTAAGGAGTTAAAATGGTCCTTATCAACCTTGATTTACATATTCTATCACATTATTTTGACAGTTAAAGTTTTGGGCAGGTTTTTGTGATCTTTTGGGGCATACTCACACTAGGCACAGTTGCCTTGTACCAAGCCTGTGCACATTTCGCCCCACTCCCCCAACGACCTGCACTCACACTGCACTTAACGTTCTGGGCCGGAGCCTTACAATGGATCTTTTTCATTAGAAGAAAACAGGAAGAAAAGGGATTTTGCTTATAGATTCTCTGAGGGAATATTCCCATATAATTTATATACATAAAACATGATTTAAAAAAAACAGAAATCCATATAGGTATTGCACTCCCAGAAGAGCTGAAAGTTTGTTCTGTCCTTGAATTTAAAAAGAGATTAAGGGGTGACATAAAATGATGACAGGATTTTCATTTTTGTGTTATGTTACATATTGATCATGTGTCTGTCTTCTACAGATGGGACCGGTGTCATGGAATATAATGAAAGACTTGCTCGTTTTCGTCAGGGTCATGTCAACCCATTTGACAGGAGAGAGATCGACAGCAGCACTGAGGGGAAGGATCCTCCAAAACATGGTGTGTCAACTTTTATTAAATATATAAATATCTACTCCTCTCCTGAAGGTACAGGCAAATTATTACCACCCTTCAAAATAAAGGTTCTTTATTGGCATTGATGGTCCCATGAAGAACCTTTAACATCCATGTAAGCTTTTTTTGCACAAAAGGTACTTAAAATGTTTTTTCACACAATCTTTTTTATTTTTTATGAACTATTCACTTAAAGGTTGTTTTGGGAACCTAAAATGGTTCTTCAATGGCATCACTGCAACAATACCCTTTTAGAAAGTTTACTTTTAAGAGTGAAGTATCAGTATGCAACCACCTATCCAACACAGAACACCAACTTTATAGCAAACTACATAGCAAAGTCGTGGCAAACAACCATCCATAATACCCTAACATTTTGGCAGCATCTTTTGCAGGGTTAAGCCCCACTCATATTTTAGTGTACAGGGATGTGAGACTGTTAGAGAGAACAATAAACTGGAACTAGATGACAGAAGTCTCCCTCTTCAGTTGGCACATTTTACATTCTCTAAAACAGGTGCTTGTGACAACATGCTGTGAAGTGACATATATGCAGGTCAGTCCAAAAAGCATCTTATATATGCATAATAGAACCGTTTTTTTATATAATCTTAAATGCTGTGCTAACAAACTGACAAAATGTACTTTATTTATTTATTTATTTATTTGAAAAGAAATAGATGAATCCCATGCTTAGACCTTTTGCAGTGTTTTAATCGTTCCTGCTTTGTTGGTGCAGTGGTGTAATGTAACGAAGTAATAATACTTCGTTACAGTACTTAAGTATTTTTTGGGAGTATCTGTACTTTACTTGAGTTGTTATATTTCAGGCAACTTTTACTTTTACTCCACTACATTTCCTAATTAAAATGTGTACTTTTACTCCGATATATTTCCCCAAAGCATATTCGTTACTTACTACAAAAGTCAGAAGAACACAGACTGCAAGAAAGCAGGTTTGACAATTCAGTGGTCTGGTGTCTGCACGTTAGTTTCCTAAAAAACACCTTTGCTCATGTGCAAACAAGTGCGCGCACAACCGCGGATGATTCATTTTCCACTCAAGTCGAGTCTGGGGTGTGCGATACAGTATATCTGCGATAATATGGTAAGTGTTGTTTTAATGATGTGCGATCTGACATTATCAAGTATATCACCAAATTACACACACAGAGTGAACGCACGTAATTTATTAGTCTATTAAAATTAAAAATTCAAGGCATTCTAAATTGTAGATGGCAAAAATGCTTCTGTATGCTTTTTATATTTATGTAATTCAATATAGTTAGCCATAAGTGACTTACATTTTAGACATAATATTGCTTGTTTTTGCTCAATATTGCCAACGAAATAGTTCCATAAAAAGATCACGGCACTGTTTTGTGTCTTTGAGCAATGGTGTTTACTTATTGAATTAATCGGCTTTTTGAACGAATCGGTTGACTAAATGATTCAGTGATTCACTCATTAACACAGTCAACTGCTTTGTTCCTGAATGAATCAGCCGTTTGAATGAATCGGTTGAATCTCAATGACTCACTGATTAACAAGTCACTTGCTGACACCTACTGACGGTTTTAATTTCACATGTCGACGAATTATTTTCATGTTTTTAAATCATTTCAAATATCAGTATTCAACATATTGTTGAACATGTTAAAAACAAAACAATATTTATCCATCTGTAACTGCAGGTTAAATGCATCCATGTCCCCTCTGAGATTAAACTGTGTGAATTCATCTAAATGCTACTTCAGATGCAGATTCCAGAAATTATTTCTTATGTTGGAATGAAAGACACTGTTAGTACCAGATGAAGTGTTATTTATTCTTACCCAAAGATACAAAATGGAAGAAAGAGTTTAAACTGAACACAATCTTGCTACTCAAGCTGTGTATGAACATATATACATACTGTATATATATATATATATACATATATATATATATTTGCTTCTTTTCCATTTTGCATTTACTTGTACTTTTACTTTCAATACTTAAGTACGTTTAAGATTTAAAAATTCTTTTTAGTACTTAAGTACAATAAATATCACATACTTTAAGACTTTTACTCAAGTAATATTCTAAACGGTGACTTCAACTTCTACCAAAGTCATTTTCTGGTAAGATATCTGTACTTTTACTTAAGTATGGCTTTCAGGTACTTTATACACCACTGTATTGGTGTTTCTGCCGTCTTTGATTCTATCAGAGCAATTTCATGAGAGAACGTGATATAATTGAAAGATTTTATTCTATTATTAAAAGCGTCTCCTGGAATAATAAGCATTTTAGTTCCCTTTCAGTCGGTCACTCCGAGTCACGTCGGTGACCGACGAATTGGGATATTGCTTCGATAGACCAATCTACTTAGAGTGTAAACTAAACGAGCCAATGCACATTGGCATGCAATTATTGCATCCAGCTGCCGCTGATCACAGCGTGAGTATAATAAGGCAGCAGGTGCAATGCGACAACATCATTCTGCTCTATATTCATTTCGAGAACTACGAGTTCAGCACGCTCTCGGAAGCTTTCTGTGTTGGCGAGACTGCGCTTCAGCAGTGGTTGTTCCAGTGTCGAGTGGGTTGCGCACTTCAGGCTGCTCTACCCCCTGTCGTGTTGCAAGCGGCTAACTCCCCTGTGCGCCTCAGCACTAAAAGAGGATTTCCTAAAGAGCAAATTTCACTAAAAGAGCTCCACGACGGATCTTCCTTATAAGGATGCCGTTTCACCCGTGCGTTTCTGGGTGCGGTCGTTACCTGGCACTGGGTGATGGTCACGATCGCTGCCTCACGTGTCTGGGCATCAAGCACGCTGAGGTGGCCTTCGTGGATGAGTCATGTTCTCATTGCAGGAAGATGACCATCTCGGAGCTGCGAACCAGGCTCCGCTACTTGCGAGGGGACGGAGTCCCGTTGCCGCGATCTGGGGCTCGTTCTGGCGGACAGGCGAGAACCACTTCCGGCAGTAGAACGGGCGGTTTGAGGGTTACAGTGATGGCAAACCCCGCAGGGAACCAACCCTCTGGGGACCATCACTCCTCTTGCACCTCCGCCTTACACGCCATGGCGTTACTGCAGGTTGTAGCGAATCAGCTCATGGGGAAATATGAATAATTAAC